AACTAGGGTAATAGAAGCTAGAACTAACGTAGAAGAAAGAATTAACAAGTGTGCATGTAATTAAAAAACCCTTGTTGGGTTTAGAACTAGCAAGATGTGGGCTAGAACTGGCTGTATATAAGCTAGAACTAGGGTAATAGAAGCTAGAACTAACGTAGAAGCAAGAATTAATAAGTGTGCATGTAAAAAACCCTTGTTGGGTTTAGAACTAGCAAGGTGTGGGCTAGAACTGGCTGTATACAAGCTAGAACTAGGGTAATAGAAGCTAAAACTAACGTAGAAGCAAGAATTAACAAGTGTGCATGTAAAAAACCCTTGTTGGGTTTAGAACTAGCAATGTGTGGGCTAGAACTGAATGTATACAAGCTAGAACTAGGGTAGTAGAAGCTAGAACTAACGTAGAAGCAAGAATTAATAAGTATGCATGTAAAAAACCCTTGTTGGGCTTAGAACTAGCAAGGTGTTGGCTAGAACTGGCTGTATACAAGTTAGAACTAGGGTAATAGAAGCTAGAACTAACGTAGAAGCTAGAATTAACAAGTTTGCTTGTAAAAAACGCGGGCTTGGTTTAGAACTAGTAAGGTGTGGGCTAGAACTGGCTTTATACAAGCTAGAACTAGGATAATAGAAGCTAGAACTAACTCGAGGGCTACTAGAACTACCACGATAGCATCTAGAAATAACATATCATTAGGTATAACTATTATCAAATATAATTAACAACGATTTATAAAAACATGACTGTATCCTCATTTATAACAACGATTTATAACTACCATCCCAGCTTACAATGATTTTTGGTAATTAAATATTTTTTCAGCCTATTTTGCTAATTAAGTTTTAAAAATGGTCTATTTTAAAAATTTGTTCGAAATTAAAATACAAAAAGACTGCGCACATTAGGTTTATTGCAAATTCAGCTTCCTCTAAAAAGGCGTGGATGTCTCGTGAAAGTGGAAAAATGGGGACAACTTTAGACTATTTTTAAAAATTAAATCATTCATTTATTTGTAGCTGGTCAAACATTTTTTCTTTTTTTCTTTTCTTCTTCTAGCTAATGGATTAATGCTCTGTGCGTCTCTGATCTACGGCGGGGGAGCGGCGGCGATCTACGACGACGAGGATGGGTGGAGGAGGGGAGGGGAGGTGGCGGCGAACTCGAGGGGAGCATTGGTGGCCTAAGTGGAGGCGGCAACGGCGAGGAGGGCGAGTGCCAGGTTGATGAGCTTGAGAAAGCTCTTAGTTTTAGAGAGAGGAGAGGGGGAGAGAGAGAGAGAGAGAGAGAGAGAGAGAGAGAGAGAGAGAGAGATGGCCTAAGTGGAGGCGGCAACGGCGAGGAGGGCGAGTGCCAGGTTGATGAGCTTGAGAAAGCTCTTAGTTTTAGAGAGAGGAGAGGGGGAGAGAGAGAGAGAGAGAGAGAGAGAGAGAGAGAGAGAGAGAGAGGAGATGAGAGAGAAAGATGATATGATTGCTGGGTCTGAGAGATTGAGGAGGGAGGATAAGGATAATTTGAGGATTTTAGCTTAGCTGGCATGTAATAATTAATAAAAAAGACTACAGTACAAAGTGTCACACATCAAGGGGCTAATTCACATGGGGAAAACTATGAGGGGCCTCGTCACATGAAGTTTCTGCTTTTGGGACCTGTACACATTTTTCCCTTCTTCTTTTTTGTTAATGAGGATGAAGATGAAGATTTTCTTTTAAAGGGCCAACCCCTTACAATGTAAAATTTTAATTTTCTTTTTCATATTTTAGAAATTCATGTTTTAGGATTTTATTTTTTATTTTTATGCTAGTAGATTAAATTTATTTCATACTATGTAGTATACATTTACTTTCATGCTCTTTTTATTTTGTTGTTTATTTTTTATGCTTTATAGAATTTATTTTCTTATAGTTTTTTATAGTGTAGATTTACTTTTATGCTCTCATATATTTGTTTGTTAGAAGTCCTTATTGTTCATAGTTTAGATCTTTATTACCTTATTCTTGTTCTTATTTTTTTTATTAATTTTTATTTTAGATCTCTTTCTTTTATGCTTTCCAGCCTAGAATTTATTTTTTATTTTTATTTTCTAAAATATGCAACAAAATCATGTAGAAATTCTAGAATTGTACGAAACTAGTTTGATTTCTTTTATAATTTATGAATTGCTCTCTTTGTGCTCAAGATAATCATGCTTAGGATAATCAATTAGAAAACTAGTTGGTAGAGGAAGAATTTGATAATTTATGTTTATCTTGATTGGTTTGATTGATTATGCTTATAAATTTTAGAATATTGTTTATCCTTTTCATGAACAGAAATTTTACTTGAATAATAACTTGATAGGTTATGCTTATCTTAAGTAGCTTGATAGGCTATGCTTTGTAAATCCCAAATAAAATATGATAAAAGAGAGTAGTTCATAAATCCTAAAATAAAATTAACAAGTGGATTCAATTCTAGATTCCTATATTTTCTACTTGATTTTCTTTGTATTTTACTTATTTTGATTTTTCTCTTTTTGATTATTTTTTACAATCTTGATTTTTTTCTTTTCTATTTTCTTTATTTATCCTACTTATTTATTGTTTATTTGTTTTATTTGTTCACTCTCTTTCTCCCCTCTTATTCTAGTTTTCTTATATGTGTAAATAATCACACACTCTATTTCTCTTTACTTTTACTCCTCTTTGTCCATACACATTTTTAGGATCTAATTTAGAAATTTTTCTACACACCTTATTTATGGGATCGACATTGTACTATACTATAACTTAATTGTGCACTTGCAAACTTAACACTATTTTCACAACACATCAGTATGTGCCTTGATTTTATTCTGAAAAGACACCAAGGGCTTAAGAGGCCTTGGTCGAGTTGATGAAGGTTGAGTTGCAAGGACTCCGTGTCATGCCTTGGTTTTACTCATGAGAATGATATCAAATTCTTAGTTTGTGCCTTGCGTTTACTCTCAAAAGTGATCAAGGGCTTTGGTACGTGCATTGATTTTATTTTGAAAAAAAAATCAAGGGCTTAGGAGGCCTTGGCCGAGTCGATGAATATCCAGTTACAAGGACTCCACATCGTGCCTTGTTACTCTGAAAAAATACTAAGGGTTTAGGAGTCCTTGGCCGAGCTAATGAAGATCGAGTTGCAAGGACTTCGCTTCATGCCTTGGCTTTACTTTGAGAACAATACTAAGGGCTTGGTTTGTGCCTTGGGTTTACTCTGAAAAGAGACCAATGACTTTGATGCATGCCTTGGTTATACTCTAAACATACACCAAGGCTTAGGAGATCATGACAACTTGGTGAAGATTGAGTTTGTAAGAGCTACGCATGGATTATTGCAAAGCGAGGCATTTTTTACTTTTGAAGAAATCTTACATTTACATTTGTTGGGATATTCTCCTGAAATAATTTACATTTTATGGACATCTAATACCTTCTTCTTAGCTTTGTGCCATGTATGTTTCCAAGTGGTGCTCTTTTATGTTATTGACGAGCTTTCCACGATGAGCGCTTGGCTATCGTAGTGTTAGGTAGTGCTCCAGTGATCGATGGATTTGCGATCAATGCGCTTATTCTTTGGTGGTGGCATTGACTCTGTTCCGCCGACTTCAAATCTTGGGCTTCGTAGTCATAGAGCGGGTATGAAATCTTCTACTAGGATGACCACTCTTACTCCACGCGTTATCTTGGAGATTTCACAGGCCATTTTGCAAGTTCTTACAAATCAGTGAAAAGAAGTTCATGTTGTTTGCTGGTATCTTTTTGTGAGTGTTGTGAGCCATGGTCAAAGAGATCGACTAAAATTTTTGGTTAATTTATCCAACTAGGCTTGACCGACATAGTTGGAGTTGATTGTTTTTTCATGGTTTGGACCTTCTCAGGCATGCCGTCCGACACTCAAGTCTGTGACTGTTCTGTTAAGTTTAAGGGAAAAGCAGAATGTAGCCTTGTTAACTTTCTACGTGTTAAAATACATACCTTAGTGTTGTGGAAGTTGTCACTATCTATAGAAGGTTAGGGGGCGCATTGGTAATTTTGACTGGGTTTGTGTAGTGATGGTTTAGATTATGCTTTACACGTGTTGGCAGCTGATTGGACGAGTCACCAATGCAATAATGATGAAAATGTTAGGGTAATAGCTTGTCCAAAGAGCTTTGATGGCTCTAGCTTGAGCGGTCATAATAGCTCTGACGCTGCATTAGAGCGCGGGCTGTTCATGCATTAAATGCGATGCAACTTTGGACGACACTTGGCAAATTGTTACACTATTCGAGGCAAGCTGTCGGGTACGAGTGGGGAGCACCTTTTGTCTTGGAGTCGGACATCCAACAAATCCCGGATTGGAAGCGCCTTCCGTTTTGGGTTTGAATTGTGGAACAGGTGAGATGTCTCACCATCCGAGTCTTACTTGTAGATGCTAGAGAGTTGCAATTATTACATGTGGCCATTCTCGAGGTTCCATTAGACTTGGTGAGGTTCCATTAGACTTGGTGATTTTCAGGATATAACAGCTCGAGACTTGGTGACTTTCAGGATATAACAACTCTGGTGATTTTCAGGATATAACAGCTCGAGATGGACTTAGCTTGATTATGATGGACTTTGCTTGACTAGCTGCACATATAGCAGGCAGTAGAGCTGCTCATTCTCTAAAATTAATGCGTCCAGAGAAGGCGAGGCGATAAATCTGCTCATTCTATGTCGTTGGATTTTGTTTATATGCCCGTCCTGATGTAACTGTTCATAATTCAATTCTTAGTTCAATTAATATATTTCAACTTTTCATCAAAATAATATTTCGGAGCTTGTCAAACTAAGAATAAATCTAAGACATGGAAAATTAAGCAAAGGAATTGAACACATTTTCTCCAAGCCATTAAAACTGAAAATAAAAAATAAAAAAAAATCCACGAAACTTGCAACGTAAATATAGAGTGGGGCGCCCACATTACATCTTATTCATATCAAAATGAAATTCACCACATCAAAGTAAACCAACACAGATCCCATCTCAAACATTATCAACTTACTACTACGGACACCAAAAGCATGCATGCACAGAGACACAAAACAAAAACAACAACCAACAACAGCAACAACAAAGCCTTAATTAGCCACCATCATCAGCTCCATCCGATCTAAGACGCCTGGGCCTGAGACTGATCGATGCGGTGCTGCGCCCCCTCCTTAATATCCCTCGCCTTCGCCGCGAACCTCGCCCTCGCGTGGTCGATCTGGTCCGCCCCCACCGGATGCTTCCCGGTCAGATACTTGTACATCCAGCCCAGCACCGACAGCGCCGCCACCCCGAACCCTCCGGAGGTCACGAACCCGGACGTGATCAAGAAAACCGCGATCGCCGCGGGAACAAGAACGGGGCTGAAGATCACGAGCAGCGGGGTGGCGACGGTGAGGGCGATGACGGTGCCGGCGAGGGTTAGGCCGCGAGAGGAGGGCATGGAGCCCGCGGTGGCGGCCGGAGAACGGACCTTGACGATCTGGCGTAATAGGCTGCTGCTGAATCTGTCGTGGGGATCCATTAATTATTATCGTCAGGCTTCAGCTTCAGGAGCACGTCGTAAGGCTTCAAGCGGATGAATTGGAGTCGCTTAATTTGCTGTGAGGAGGCAGAGCACCGGAGCGAGGAGGAGGAATTGAAGACCGAGCGAAGGGGGTTAATTAGCTTAAAGAGTGGGGTCAGAGGGGACGCACGTGAGACAAGGACAAGGAGGGTTATGCCAATGTAAGGGTTTTGACATGTGAGAGATAGGGTTAAGCGGCGACGCCGTGGGATATTTTGACGTACTTACTTAGCGATGCGGCGAGGGTAACGGAAGCAGATGGGTGGGGGGGGGGTGGGGGTGGTGGTCGGGTGGGGGGGTTCTAAAATCGTGTGGTGACGGTGTGCAATGTGTATAGCATGCGGAAATATGTTGTCAATATTTTTTTGGTTATGTATATTGTGATATATATCTTGGCCGTCTATGGTAAACTGTACAATTTTGGAGCAACCATGGAAATATTTTTTGGTTACTCCTCTGATCACAATCATTGATTTGTGTTGTTAACAGTTGAGGTATGTCTTTGAGTGCAAATTAGGAAATGAGTGTAATTTTTGAGATACAGTGAGTGATATATATGTTTAGAATAAATAACAAACACGTTCATTAGACAAATCAACAATTATAATAAAAACAATGGTCTCTTTACTAATTTTTATAGTGGAGTGAATCCAGATTTGCTAGAGATAAAAGGGCCGGCCATATCCAGGGCCGGCCCTGATATTCTTAATTTTTCACGGGGCCCTAATCAAGCTTTCAAATGAGGGGCCTCTATATACAATATTTCATACACAAAATTTTTTATAAGATAGCAAAATATTTTTTATTAAAATGAGACAATAAACACATAATCGTATGATTCGTATTAATATTAAAATCAAAAAACTTCATGATGCTTTATAAATAACACAATTCATACTACATTAAATGAGATCACCTTGTATTTTGAGCTGCAAAATTATCAATTAAAGTGTTCTAATCAAGCTTCTCCAATAAATTCTTTTCGATAGATATCATAGCCAATCCATTCAATCTCTCTTGTAACATTGTTGACCATAGATAAGATTTAATGAGGTTCAACTTTAAAAAGCTTCTCTCGGCCGATGCAACTGTAACTGGTATTGTCAATAATACTCTATAAGCAATCCAAGCATTTGGAAAACAATAATTTAGCATTTTCATAAAATTCAATACTTCAATTGCTTTTTTGTTCCTCTTGGTAATGCTTCTCTTAAGATTTGGAGTTCTGAAAATAATTTTGTCCCATTAATATCAAAATTTTTGTCATGCTTTAGGAGATCATCAAGGTTAATACATGAACACTTCAAACTATCATTATCTGTAGACTTCAACCTCTCCAAATTAAACAAGAAACCAAAAGATTCATCATACTGTTGAAACTGTTCAAATCTAATATTGAGTGAAGAAAGAGCTTGATCCATGATATATATGAAGTAATTGACTCTAAAGGATTCTTCAGCTATCATTGTCATCTCTTTACTAGCATTTTCATCAAAATATTTCTTTCTATGAATGATGCGACGTTCACGAAAAATGGGTTCAACTTTCATTCTAACTGCAATTTCTTTAGCCTCAACCATAGCTGCTTCAAATCCATTTTCTCTGTAGCTTTCAAAAAAAGAAATGAGCCCTCTTAAAAGGTCTATAGCAACATCAATCTGCATATCCTCTGATTGCATGGGTTTGAACTGCGAATGCTAGTACAGAGCTAGTACTGTAATATGAAATGACTAATGTAACAGTTGTCCTCTCGGTCAACCTCTATCTATTTTCATATCTATTTTCATGGCCATGAAAGACTTATGAAAAGAAAAGAGACCAGCAGCCTATGAACAAAGAGCCTTCTCCTCAAATCTGCATATGCTCAGGGAACTTTTACTAATAGGCTTAAGCATATCTTAATGATGCTCAGGGGCCCTAGGTTTTGGGGGCCCTAGGCGGCCGCCTGACCCGCTTAGGGTCAGGGCCGGCCCTGCATATCTTCCCATTTCAAAGAAATTTCGAGGCATAATATAACTTTTTTTCGTATGCTACTGCACAGACTTCCACCACACCCGTTATGCCTGTCTATATCGCTTAAATGCACAAAATCCTATCCTGGGTATCTTTTAAAAAAAATATTTTGCTAGTTTAATAAAGTTTAAGTCTGATTTGGGCAAGAATCAAATTCTGTTTTAATTCAAATTTTTGGTTGAATTGTTTTCTCTATAGTAGCAATGCTATGGTCTTTTATAGATAGTTTTAAAGAATTTATATTTTCAGAAAATTTTGAATGTTTATCCAATGGCCTACATTTCGATGGCAGAATTGTAAATATAGACAAATTTAATACACATCATTAATGTTAAAAGGGTAAAATTGAAACAATTCACTACATTAATGGTGGCTGGCAATATTGGAAACCAAAAATACAACACGTGGAACAATTCACTACATTAATGGTGGCTAGCAACATTAATGCTTCTCTGTTGAGTTCTCTATTTCCCCATTTCTCTCTCTAACTCACTTCCTGCTCTCTGTAACTCACTTCCATCTTCTATCAATCTTTGATCTTCCATCTTCGCATGAAGAACACAACAACAATTCATTAAAAATCATCCTAACCATCCAAGCTTTCGCTGGAGTGAATCTGGATTCACTCCATTGAATCTGGATTCACTCTATTGAATCTGGATTATATTGAAACTCGATTCATTGGAGTGAATCCAGATTCACTTAATTGAATCCAGATTCAATGGACTGAAACTCGTTATCAAACAATAGCAAATCTGCAAAAATAAAAAACAAAAAGAATAAGAAACTTATGGTAAAAAACAAGCTATAAAATTTTAAACCATGATATAATTTCATATTTTATAGCAAAAAGTTACGATTTTTATGGTAAAAAACAAACACCTCACATAACTGAATCTGGATTCACTCAGTGAATCTAGATTCACTCATGCGTTTATTTCTTCAAAATTACAGCACATGCATTTATTTCTTCAACAATTCATTAAAAACCATCCTAACCATCCAAGCTTTCGCTGGAGTGAATCTGGATTCACTCCAGTGAATCTGGATTCACTCCATTGAATCTGGATTCACTCCATTGAATCTGGATTATATTGAAGAAACAAGCTATAAAATTTTAAACAAAAAGAATAAGAAACTTATGGTAAAAAACAAGCTATAAAATTTTAAACCATGAAAAGATTTCATCTTTTACAGCAAAAAATTACGATTTTTATGGTAAAAAACAAACACCTCACATACTGAATCTGGATTCACTTATGCAAAAAATTACGATTTTTATGGTAAAAAACAAACACCTCACATACTGAATCTGAATTCACTGCTGTGAATCGAGATTCACTACAGTGAATCTAGATTCACTTATGCGTGTCTTCGTTTTTCAACTGGTTTCTTTAAAAAACAAAAAACTTTTCAGACTAAAAGGTGAAATATTTTACCTTTTACAATAAAAAGTTACGATCTTTAAGGTTAAAACTAAAACTTTTAGACGAAAAATCAAACAAATTTTATAAACTTACCATTAAAGCGTCAAAATAATTTAACAGCCCACTGAATCATGAAGACGAAGGTTGAAGAAGACCGTGAAGACGAAGCGTCAAAATAATTTCATAAACCATGAAGACGAAGGTTGAAGAAGACCGTGGATAAGGAGATGTTGAAGACAGAGAGAGTTGCTGTGATTTTGGAGAGAGAGAGAGAGAGTTGCATGGGGAAATGGAGAACTCAATAGAGAAGCATTCTCTCTTTAGTGGGCTGTTTATTTTACCTAATTACCCTTATGCAGCTTTAATCTCAGCCATTGGATGAATCTAGATCCAATGGAGAGGATTGGTTTTTAGTTTTTAGGATAGTGAGGTTTTTATTTGAACCTCTCCATATATATATATATATATATTGTACATATATAATAGAGAGTATACTTATATATACTTATATAAGAGAGTATACACTGTATATTTATATATACTTATACATATATTAAGAGAGCATACTTATACATATATATACTTATATAAGAGAGAGTATACTTATATATACTTATAT